GGCTTTTATTATTACGACCTCGTGCTACACTGTGGCCAGTTGCCCTGCTGTTGGCGAGGTGAACAGCAGTTAGCCAGCGGGACAAGAAAGCCTCCCATTGGCGCCATCACGCCTGCCATCACTATGTGCACGCACTGCCAGGCCCAGGAGACACAAGAGACTGACGTTAATTGGGTATGCACACTCAGCAGGTCTGTGCTGGGCACTAACTCAGTCTGTGTGAGGCAGGATACCTCCATACCATGAGCGGACACCCCCACCACCTGAGATGCCTTCATCCTAATCTTCATTCCTGACACTATCCTGGTGCATTCGGCTCACATACTTCTTCATCCAAGAAACTCTCCACTGTATAGACCTTGTCTCCTGGGCCAATGCCAACCTCTGCTTAGACTAAAGGACACCCTTCCATAGGCACAGGCGTTGTGGGTATTGTTACACATCCCTGTTCTAGCTTTTAGTGGCAAGGTTGACTTTTATGTACCCAGCAAATGAGCCCCTGGGTGGCTTAGGTGGCTTGACTCAAGACAGAGCTTCCTTGAAGGGGAAACCTAGGCATCCCTTCCAGATTGCCTTGCTCACCATGTCCAGCAGAATGTCCACTTTCAGCCGCAAGAGATTGTTCTCTTCTTCCAGCTGCTGGTTCCGTTTGCGCAGGCGCTGAGTCTCCCTCCGATCCACACCTCCACTAATCACAGTGTCTAAAGGAAGCACAGAACAGGAGTGAAAAGGGGGATTGCTTCTGCTATTCTGATCACCAAAGCCGCAGGAGGGCCTCTCACCTGCTACCCACTGGCCATTTTCAAACTTCAGGTTTTGCCCCGCCAGGTTCATGGTGGGAGTTCCATAGTCAAGGCCCAGTTCCAATTCCCGCGTTGACCGATCTAACTGTGGTAAGAGACTATGATGGCTCAGGAAGTCACAGAACAAGAGTTCACACCCCAGCTTCACCCACTAGTTCCAAACCCAACAAAACAGGTGTCTGTCCTCCCACCAGTACCTAGCACCTTTAAAATATATATATTTTATTTTGAGACATGGTCTCACTATGTAGCCCTGGCTGTCCTGACACACACTATGTTGAGTGTTCTGCCAGTATGTAAGTCTGTGAACCTTGTAGGTGCAGTGCCAATAGAGGAGTTACAGATGGTTATGAGTCACCATGAAGGTGGTGGGAACCTAACCCAAGTAGGTCCTCTCCGCAAGAGCAACAAGTGCCCTTAATGACAAGTTCCTGAAATTAATTTTTTCTTTTTTGAGACAGGGTCTCTTCCTGCAGCCCTGAATGTCCTGGAACCCTATATGTAGACCATGCTGGTCTTGAACTCACAGTGGTCTACCTGCTTCTGCTTCCTGACTGCTGAGATTAAAGGTATACCACTATACCCCACTTGAATTTAATCTTTAAACATGACTGAAATTAATTCTTTAACAAGTTTTGGAACTAAAATGTAGTCAGTTTGGACATCGTCACCTGGGACCAAAATCAGAATGAGGCTGGCTGTCCTAGTGCAGTCTTGAATAAACTCCAACAGTAATTGCCACCAGGAATTTAAACTTGAGTAATAATATAAACTAAAAGGATGCTGTTGTAGAACAATTTTTGAACACTGTGTTGCTCTTATTGGTTTAATAAAGAGCTAAATGGCCAGTAGTTAGGCAGGAAGAGGTTAGATGGGACTTGTGGACAGGGAGAAGAAGGGTGGAGTCACCAGCCAGATGAAGAGGAAGCAGGATGTGTACAAGATGAGGTAATAAGCCATGAGCAATATGGTAGCAAGTAAGTTAATAGGAATGGGTTAATTTAAGCTATAAGAGCTAGTTAGAAACAAGCCTAAGCTACCAGTCAAGCATGTATAATTAATACGTCTCTGTGTGGTTATTTGGGTGCTGGCTGGTGGCACAGAAAATTCCACCGACAGGATGCCCTCCTGCAGTGCTATTTGTCCACCAGAGACCACCTGTGCCCCAATCCACTCACAGAATGCAGGTTGGAGAGAGAGGCCGACTTCCGAGGCGGGGTCTTCTTTGGGCTGAATATACTCCCAAAGAGAGGCATTCCTGACTCGAGGAGGAAACACCAGCACTTCCTTCTAGGGTCAAACAGATCAGTGACGTTACTTCATTGTTCTCAAATCATGGAAATATTTTAACCATTGGCAATTACCAATCCTGGCATTATCTACTGGGAAGAGTTGTCCATTTAGACAGAGCTGCAAAGAAAGGCTGTCTGAGGGTCCAGAAGTCCTGGCAGGAGCTCCCCTATGTTCGATGCTTTTTTTTTTTTTTTTCTTGGCGAGCCAGCCAGGAGCCGAAGATGCTTTTTATGTGCTGGGCAGTATGTCAATGCCTTTGCACAATCTCATTGAACTCACAAATACCCCTTGACAAGCCCCTCCTATTCACCCCATTTGGTTAGTGACATTTAGAAAGCTAAGGTCTTCAGTGGGAATGGGTATCTGAACCAAACTTTGTGTGGCTTCACAGTTATGTTAGCGTCAGGCAAACCTGTCCCAAGTTGGCCTCACCAGAACTACAGTGTGGACCAAGGAATGAAATTTCTATCCCATAAACCAGTCAGAGCTGGACCAGGAACTCTAACTTCTGCATACACACTATTCTAAAGCTGCGAAGCTACACTGATACTTCATTTCCAGACTGACTGTGATGCTTATCACTTGGTCCCTATATCAAGCCCCTTGTCCTGTTATGAGAGGTAAGGTAGTCTCAAGGAAAGGAGAGAGCCAGAACATGGTGGAGCTGACAACACTGTCGCCATTATGTCAGCTTTAATTCCAACCTCCTGTGCTCATAAAAGTCACAACATCACTTAGCTTCTGGGAAGAGGTCAAGGGTTTTTTGTTTGCTTGTTTTTTTCTTCAAGACAGGGTTTCTCTGTATAGTCTTGGCTGTCCTGGAACTCACTCTGTAGACCAGGCTGGCCTTGAACCCAGAGATCTACCTGCCTCTGCCTCTCAGTGCTGGGATGAAAAGCTTGTGTTACCACTGCCTGGCATCTTTTTAATTTAAGTATAACAAATAAGGAGAAGTTTTAAAACCACAAGGCTCCAGGGTGGCTTTTTTAATGTACGTGTTTATGTGCTGTATGCACGTGCACCTGCAGGTGTGTGTGCATGCGTGTGCGTGCTTGTACAGAGTCCAGAAGAGGACACCAGGTGTGTTGCTTTATAAACGCTTCCTGACACAGTCCCTTGGCAGGGTCTCTCACTGAACCTGGAGCTAGACTTGTGGCCAGCAAGTCCAGGCAGTCCTCTCTCTGGCCCCAACACTGCTGGGAGTACAGGTGTTGAGTCCGCCACAGGCTTTTTACTGGGGTGTTGGGGACTTGGATTCCGGTCATCATACTTGTGCAGCAGGCACTCATATTTCCTGAGCCTTTCCTCCAGTCCCCTTCACAAATCTGTAACACACACACACACACACACACACACACACACACACATACACACACCCTTCTACAGAGTGAGTTCAGGCCGTAGCAGCACCCTACAAGACTCTCTGGATGACTTTACAATCAACTCTGCTGAGATCCTAGCTTTCTTTTTTGTTTTGTTTTTGTTTGTCAAGACAGGGTTTCTCTGTGTAGCCCTGGAATGCACCCCATAGACCAGGCTGGCCTCAAACTCTGAGCGATACATCTGCCTTTGATCAAACACCTTTAGTTCTACGGTTCTTTAGTGAAGCCTTCACATAGGGAGGGCTCAGGATCAGGAAAGTTATGAGGCTATACCTGGTTTCCAACCAACACTGCTGCTCACCCTCAGCGGGATCCCAGAATTTTATCCCTGAAGGGCCTCAACTGCTTTATTTTTTGTTATTGTTTTAATATGTATGGATGTTTTGCCTGCGTGTAAGTCCGTGTACCATGTGCCTTAGGTCCGCAGATTCCTGGAACTGGTGCCACTGGGCCGTCATGAGCTGGGAATTGAATTCATCCGGTTTCTCTCCAACAGCAACTAGTGCTCTTAGACGTTGAGCCATCTCTCCAGCCCTCGAGTCCCTTAATTATAACCAGGAATAATAAAAGCACCCAGTTTGAAGGTGAGGAGTGTTTTCATATTTACAAGTTGTTGGAGCATTTGATGCTCACTATACCCTGGCAAGCAGATCAAATTGTGCCCCTCTACAGGGAACTGTATTCATTGTGCGAAGGTTTAGTTCGCACCACGTTATAAAATGCATTATCTTCACTCCGACAAGAAAGTAAAGGGAGCATCTTTGGTTGTCACTGGGTTCTCAAAGGAAAAAGGGTCAGCCAGTTGCGTGTCTGCAGGCGCACGGGCCACAGGACCATAGGAGTTCAGTACCAGTTATGAGAAATCCTTCAAGCGATGGTCAATAACACCGTCCCGAGTCACCTTCGCAGGATGAGCCCGCCACCACCCGGCCTGCCTGCCACCCTCTCCAGGGGTACCCGGGCGCCCCCAACACCCAGGCTGGCAACGGCCTTATCCCAGCGCTCCCAGACGTACCTGGCGCGTCTGGGAAGCCGGAGTCCAGAGCTCTCCCAAAGCCTTCGGCAAGGATCCGCCCACGTCGCGTCAACCGTCGCGAAGGCGATTGGCGGGCGCCGGATTCCCATCGCGCGCATGCGCGACTGCTTTGGCCTCTACTACCACTGAGGATGAAGGGGGAGCCACGTCCCAGAGGAGCCTCCGCGGAACAATGGGGCTCTCGCGGGTTCCCTCTACTTCAGCGAGCTCGGAAGGCCTTGGGAACTTGTTCTGGAGTTACTCACATGCCAAATGGTGTAGGCTGGGCGAGAAGTGCCCCCTTAGACACATTGGTCTGGCCCCCGGGTAGCGCCGCCGTTGCCATGGTAACCGCGTGTGGCAGCCACTGGGCCAGCTCAGGGCTGCATTGTTGTGGAAACGGTGTGTGTAGTGACCTGGGCTGGACTCACAGAAGCAAAATGGCCTGCTCTCTGGCTGCCCCGCCCCGGCCAAAAAGCAAAGTACGCCCCTTTTTGGTGGTTTGGGGTCCCGGGTGCCGGCGGCCATCCGGAGCTCCGTCGGGTCACCGGAGGGACCCGTGGCGGAACCCACCCTGAGGCTTTGGGATTCTCCCGAAGCTTTCAGGTAAGACAGTCGAACAGACAGAGGACGACTCCTTGCCAGCAGCAAACTGGCTTCTGCCGGACCTGCCTCCTCCTTATGCCCACGAGCAAGGGAAACTGAGGTCCAGGAAGGTCCCCCAGTGAACAAGGAACGGAGGACAGGAGAATCCCCTCCAGAATTCCTCAAGTCCTAATGGCGTGTATGCTCTGTTTGGTAAATGAAACGCGCCATCCAGGAGATGTTTCCTGGCGGCCTAGTGGGTGCACTAGCTGTCATTCGAGCCATAGTAAAGGACAAGACCAAAGTGCAAGCCGTTTTCCTCCTCTTTTGCCACGCTGCATTATTAGAAGAGTTTCACGTTCAAAATTAACCATATCTAAAATTAACCATTCATTGGTTCAACAGAAACATAAAGCATAGCACACTTGTAATTTGTGGTCATTTTAGCAGCTTTTTGTTGTTGAACCCTGAGCCTTGAAACGCTGATCCTGTACTTCACCGATGAGCTATACCCAAAGCACCTTTCACTGGGCAGCGCAGGCTTCCCCCAGGGTTCTCTAGTTCTGGCTGGTCTCCAAATCCTCCTGCCTCTGTCTCTAGAGTACTGGAGACTGAAGGCTATGCTGTTAAAAGTAAAATCAAAACAGATTAAATTAACTTGACTACTGTTTTATTTAGCTCAGTTTGTCCAAAATATGCTTAATCATATTTTTAAATTTACCTTGCTTTGGTATTTATTTTATTGATTGATTGACTGGTTGGTTTTTAATTTTAAAATAAAATTTACCTTCTTCAGTCCCACTAACCAAATTTAAGAACTTTGTTTTCACGTGTGGCTAATGGCTGCTGTGATGGGCAGTATCTATGGAGCCTTCGTCTGGCTTTGCTGCTTTCTCTTCTCCCTTTTAGCCAATTAACTCCTGCTCTTTCTGCCTCACCACTGACCTCTCTAACAAGGTCGAAACAAGCTGTCGAAATGCTTAAGCAGAGGCAGGGATCTCTGAGTCGGAGGCCAGCCTGGTCTAAATAGCAAGTACCAGGGCTACATAGTGAGACCCTGTCTCAAAAGAAGCTAAACAGACCACACTATGTTATCTCATACCCATCCCTGTGGACCGCCTTTGGAAGCAGTATGAGTCTTAATTCATCATTATATGCATAGCTTTTATAAATTAGAATTTATAGTTATGCACTTGTTTTAATTCTACAAGTCTACCCCAATATTCAACCCTGCTAAGGGGACACGGATCCAGTCTGACTCAGTTCACCCTCTTGTGTACAGTTAGAGCTCAGTTGCTAGTCTGTGGGAGGTCCTTAGTAGTCACTGAGTGGCGGAAAATTGACAGTGAACCGAAGTCTGATTCCATAGTCTGCATTTTACATGCTATCCAAGTTAACTTTAAGTGGGAATTTTCAAATCCCAGCTGCCAGAATGCCCCGAGGGGAAAGTTTCCTGGCACCCACTCATCTACGCTCAGCACCTGGCACAGTGCTTGCCACAGGGCAGCTTTCAGTGAAGCTGACTCTCCCTCCTCTACAAGCTACGACTGTGCTCCTGAGCACACGTATCCTTAAATGGTATGAGGAAGAATTCAGCCTGGAGCAGTGTGTATATTTTAAACATTCCTCTTTAGAAACACGCTACTCGGTTCTCACATTAGGCATGAGTAATAGTGTTAGGCTAAAGCTGGAAGCTTCCGACAGAGTCATCTGAGCCTAGCTCCTCAGAGAACAGAGTGTAATTTTCCAGCCCTTCTGGGGAATGGGTAGGAGGACATTGAGAAGCCCGAAAACGCATCTGCCTCCTCTCACCTCTCCCTGTTCGACCCGTGAGGCTAAAGACTAGGAGCAAAGGACAAGAAGCAGTACTGACCTGGGCCTGGGTCAGTCTTCCCTTCCATTCAATGGGCCTTGGTCAGGGTCACGGGTTGGTATGGAGCGATCCCTGCAACCACCAAGACCAGCGGAGTCAAATCAGAGGGAGATAAGAGAGTAGTTCAGTTCAACAGGACTCAGTAGCTGGTCTTGGTTCAACCCTGAGTAGTTTGTTTTAGGCACATTTAAGCACAGCAAAATTAGTAAAAAGAAGTTTCCTGGTGATAATTAACTCAATTCCACGTGTCCAGCAAAGCTTAAGATAGGACTGCGTCAAAACTCTTTGTAAAGTGCAAGTAACATCTTCCGGGAAAATGAGTTCTATAGAAAACTGAGAAAAAGTTCAAGATGATGTATGTGATAAGGGTCTGGAGGGCAGCGCTGCAGATGGGCTGATGTGATAACATATGTGACACATGTGATAAGGGTCTGGAGGGCAGCGCTGCAGATGGGCTGATGTGATAACATATGTGACACATGTGATAAGGGTCTGGAGGGCAGCGCTGCAGATGGGCTGATGTGATAACATGTGTGACACATGTGATAAGGGTCTGGAGGGCAGCGCCGCAGATGGACTCAGACAGACAGGCTCAAGGGCCTGTTGGTCAGTGCGGTCTGACCACACAGGTAGTGCAGAGGTCACCAGGCTGTTAACAATATCAGTGCCTTCTGGGCTGGAAAACAGGTTGTACACTCTCCCTTGGAAGATAAGTCCTGTGTGTTTAACCTTCCTGGTTTCCCTAGTGCTTACGTGTGAGCACAAGAACCTACACTTCTCCTACAGGAGAGTCTGTGATAGGCAACTTCTTCCCCCCCCCAAAAAAAACCAAAAAAACACCCCCCCCAAAAAAACAAAAAACAAACAAACAAAAAAGTACTGAGTGATTAATCATAGTGATTGCCCCTGGAGTAATTCTAGTATGTAGCACGAATAATAAAAACTCAAAGATAGATATTGGGGTTCAAGCTGAAAGATCGAGAAGCAAAGCAGCCAACCACTAAAGAGCTCTTACCTCTAAGAAATCTTCAGACTGAAAAGAGGGAGAATTCCTGTCTCATCTCGCCTTCTATTCCTCTTTAGTGCTGGGATACAAGGCGTGCATCACCACCGCTTGGCCTCTATGGCTAACTAGTGTGACTGCTGGGATTAAAGGTGTGTGCCACCTCTGCCTGGCCTGAATGGCTGACTAGTGTGGCTAGCTTTGCACTCTGATCTTCAGGCAAGTGTTATTTGTTAGATAATAAACAAAATATCACTATACTCCTAATGGAGAAAAACATAGAAGCAAGTCATTCCAGTTCAGGTTTTCTTTCTTGAGACAAGATTTGGTGAGGTACCCAAAGCAGGCCTTGAACTCTTGATCCTCCTGCCCATCCCTTACCTTGCTGGGGTTTTAGGCACGTGCCATCATAGCCACCTACCAGTTTTATATATTAAGTGCTGTAACAGATGAAAGTAGATACATAAAAGAGTCTACTCTGTGGTCCTGGTGACCTGGACCAATCCCGGGTCTTTCTAAAGATGATGTATCACCTGTGATTGACCAAGTCCACAGATGGGACCTTGTGTACAAAGATATAGGAGCATTAAAAGCACGGCATGACCTGATTCCGTCGGTCCCCAGTGCTCACCACACAGGCCTGACAACCTGAGCGCTCTCCCTGGAACCCAGCTGGAAGGAGGAAGCTGACTGCATGAGCTTCTTCTGATCTCCTCATGTGTACCCTTGCTATGTGTATTCCTGCGCCCATTCATAAAGATCTTCTTAAAAGAATATCATGACAGGGAACCAGAAAGAAGTCTGTGGGCCAGGCCTCTGGAGTGCAAAGCTGGGGAGAAGAGTCAGGAGGGAGACTGAATTGGGGGAGCAGGGTGCAAGAAGGAGTGGTAGGTAGACCTAGGTTTGATTCTCCTGACCTTAGCTCCTTCCTTTCATTCTGTATGGGCTGCTTGAGGACAAGATCTAAGACTCTGGCTTCACTATCCCCAGGTCTCTAGCATTATAGTCTGGGTGTGGAGGGAGAGACATGTTATAGGACTGGACCCAGGAGACAGGCCAGAGTATCCTCAAGTTAGGGACAAAGGGTTGGGCAGTTTTCTATGGATACAGAAAGCCTTAGAAGGCTTGTGCTGAGGAGGACTATTGTCTTACAGTTATAACTCCTGAGAGCTGCAAAGAGTCATGGGGTCACATGTGACAGGGTGAGACAATGTAAGAGTTCCTCCATTTTGTATTTGTTTGCTTTTGTTTTGTGTTGTTTTCCTTTTTTATTTTTTGATACACAAAAAATTTGTTACACAGGATTTCTCTGTGTAACAGCCATAGCTGTCCTGGAACTTGCTCTGTAGACCAGGATGGCCTTGAACTCACAGAGACCTGCCTGCCTCTGCCTCTGCCTCTGCCTCTGCCTCTGCCTCTGCCTCTGCCTCTGCCTCACACGTGCTGGGATTTAAGGCAAGCACCACCACCAGCCATCCCATCTTGTATTTTTGCTGAAGCCATTTCAGGTTTAACAAGAATTTGTTCTTCTTGGTAGAGAATCCCATGGAAAATTACCCAGCCCTGTTCTAGGAACCCAAGGTTGGGATGTCCTAGCTAATTTAGCTTCTGTTAAATTGTCTGTCTGTGTGGAAATCCCTCCAGCTAAGTGCTTACCATAGCTTCTGTTAAAACTGCTTACTTCTGCAAAGCAGCTGCTGGGTGAGATGCCAGGACTCTGCCTTTAAAAACTCTGTGTTCTGGACACTTGAGGCAACACTAGATTCTTGAATACCTGAATGTGGTCCCAACTGGCTGGAATAAAAACATCCAATTGACTATAACTTGTGTCTGAGTGGCCTCCCTGTAGCACCCCTCCAAATCTCTTAAAACTCAGGCCCAGAAAGGCAAAGAGATTTGGTTTCATTTCTAGTTGTAATGCTGACTTGCGGTGTGGTCTGGAGCCCTGAGTTTTCCAGTCCTCTAACCTCCACTCCCCGCATCTCCCCCTTCTCCCAGGTTTTTCTGTGTAGCTTTGGCTGTTCCAGAACTCACTCTATAGACCAGGCTGACCAAGAACTCACAGAGATCTGCCGGCCTCTGTCTCTATTCTTAAGACTAAGTCAGGGTTGCCATAGGGGTCTGCAGATAATGCCTGCAGCCAAGACTGATGACCTGAGTTTGATCTCTGGAACCCACTGATGGAAAGAGACTTGTCTCCCACACATTGTCTTTTGACCTCCACACACACCGGAGCATGTGAACTCACAAAAAAAAAAAATTAAAAAAACATAAAAAAGAAAAGTTAAAAGTTTCTATCATGGGTGTGGGGAGGGGCAGGCATTTCCAAGTTATAAGAATCAGTACAGCGTGGGACAGTGGTGGCACACACCTTTAGTCCCAGCACTTGGTGGATCTCTGTGAGTTTGAGGCCAGCCTGGTCTACAGAGTGAGCTCCAGGGCAGCCAGGGCGACACACATAAACCCTGTCTTGAAAAACAAAGTATGGGGCTGAGGATAAAGCTCAGGGGAAGGGAGCTTGCCTAGCACGCCTGAAGCTCTAGGTTAAATACCTAGCTGGAGGGGGGATGACTGGGGAGTTTGCTTGGTGGGTAAAGTGCTTACTGTCCAAGCATGAGGACCTGAGCTGGGACCCCCCAAATCCACGTAAATAACCAGTCTTGGTGGTGTGCTCCTGTGTCAGAGCATGGTCCAGCATGGAGTCATGGGAGGAAAATTCTGTGTGCTTGTGAGAACACTCTAAGGAAACAGGAGGAGTTGTGACCCCAGTTTCTCCAAAACACAGACTTGTTCTTGTGGTGTGTTAGCGTGCTCCTCCCAGGTGCAGCGGGTAGGAGCGAGCTCACCTCAGATTTCTCAGTACTGCTTGCTGGTGTTGCTCAGTTGCACCCCTGTGGGAGAATGCGTTCTTGCCGTGAGCAGCCTGTCCTTGGAATTCTACACAGCATGAACTCAGGAGAACCCTAGTCCTGTGTGACCTTTCTTAACCCTGAGAATAAATTGTCTGAGGTTCTGAATAAAGTTGACTATTGCATTAGACGTTCATCTGAGTCATTTATCGGCTCCATTCTCCACGCTCCCACCACTCTAGAGAGGTGACACACCAGTCACCTCTTTCTGGGAAGTTCAGCCTAGGAAATCCCAAGGCTTGTGTAGGCCAGCCACTCTAGCTGAAATGGTGAACAGTGAGGAACCCCATCTCATAAAACACGGTGGAGAATTGATTGACATCATCCTCTGCCCTTCACATGTACCTACATGGACATATGCACAAGCGCGTGCGCACACACACACACACACAGAGTACCTGGGCCTTAAAATCATACTAAGAATTAGCTTCCTGCTTTCTGCCCTAGCAAAGGTGCAGACTCAGCCGGAAATCCACCCTGCCCTGGGGAGGGAGCATGAAGCCTTTAGCACCAGGAATTGCCACAGCTGTTTCCCTGCCAGGCTCCATCTTGAAGGCCTCTGTAGCCAGGTGGGGCCAGAGTCTCAGTGAATAAGTGTATGCAGAAGAAGGAGTGAAAGATTGGTAGACTAAATTAGCCTTTTAAATATTAAATTTATTAAATATATATTAATATTAAATATTTAAACATTTTATTGTAGCCAGGTGGTGGTGGTGTGGTGGTGGCGCCTTTAATCCCAGCACTCAAGAGACAGAGGCAGGCAGATCTGAGTTCAAGGTCAGCCTGGTCTACAGAGCAAGTCCCAGGACAGTCAGAGAGAGAGACCTGTCTCAAAACTAAAACAATGACAACAAAAAAGATTTCTTATGTCATTAGGTTTTGACTATTAAGACAAATACTGCTGAGTTTTCTTAGAGGTTGATTTTATTTTTATGTATGCGTGGGCACAAGCTCACATGCAGATGAGAGAAGAGGCCAGAAGAGGGCATCAAATCACTGGAGTTACGAATGGGTGTGAGCTGCCAGGCACAAAGGCATGGTCTCTGCAAGAGCAGCAAACCTCTGAGCCGTATTCCCAGCCCTCTGCTGTTCATTTGATTTTGACTTTTTATTGTAAATTAGATTTATGTAGTCGTTGTGATTGAAGGTGCGTGTGCCACAGTGCACATATAAGGCCGAAGGCAGCCTGTGGGAGTCAGTTCTCTCCTATGTGAATCCCAGGAACCAAAGTCATTTTGCCGGACCCTGCCTGGTGGCTTTGACAATTGTTTAAGAATAGCATGTGTGTTTTAAGGGCTTTGCCACGTGGATATTTTGCTACTGTGGTTGACTGCTTGGAGGACTCTCCTTGTAGTGTTTTGACACAACTATTTTATGTCTATTACCTTGATGGCGTTCCTTGTCCAAGCCGAGGCCACCTGCCTTCCCAGCTAGGACTTTACAAATCGGTTCACGAATTTAATCTACCCCGTACTGCCACTGCTCAGGGAAGGTAATGATGTGGCCGCCACGGCTGTTCATTTTTACATCCCCCCTCCCCTTTTTCCTGTCTCCTTTGCCTCTTCCCCTCCCCTCACTCCTTTTGGAAATGGTTCAGGAATTGAACAGTTTATGCTGAGCAGTTAAAGGGACTAAGTGAGCACACAGAACAGGCCTTCTTTCTACTGTCTCGCAAAGCATGCTGCTGGCCCGGCTACACACTCACTCTTTTCCTTCAATGCGTTACAGTTATTAACATACCTATTGGAGTGGAGGGAGTGAGCATAGCACGGCATATGTGTCAGGGGATAACTTGAGGGAATGGGTTCTTTCCTTCACCGTGTGTGTGTGTGTGTGTGTGTGTGTGTGTGTGTGTGTGTGTATAGGGGGTGAAGGTTGTGAGCAGTCAAACTCTGGTCATCAGACTTGGCAGCAAGTGTCTTAAGCCTCTGAGCCATCCCCCCCCCAACCTTTGTTTGTTTGTTTGTTTGCTTGATAGAGTTTCTCTGTGTATGGCTGTCCTGAAACTCACTCTGTAGCCCAGGCTGGCCTTGATCTCAAAGATTCACCTGTTTCTGCCCCCTTGGTGCTGGGTTTAAAGGGGTGCACTACACACCTGACCACGTGGGGCAGTACGCAGGGGGAACTGGCAGTGTGTAGGTACCAAGGGGAGGAGGAGACACTGGGGTATCTGCTTAACAGTTTCTCAGCCATTAGAGACTCAGGACTGTGCTCACACATTATCAATGACAAAGTGACTACTGAAGTTATCATTGTATTAAATTAATGCTATGCTACCAAATTTGGGCATTTTGTTTTATTTTGGCTTGTTCTGGTATCTTAGCCCTTAACCAAGCATATGTGGTTTTTTTTGTTTGTTTGTTTTTGTTTTTGTTTTGTGGTGTTTTTGTATATTTATTTTTCTTTTCTTTTTTGGGTACAGCTGTAAGATACTTATATTTATATGTGGTATTCTTGCAGTCTTGATATTCAGGGTGGATTGTAAGACATGAATTTTGGGGACTGGGCACATGGCTGGGTGGATAAGAACAATTACCGTTCTAACAGAGGACTTCACTTCTCCTCACTGGGTGGCTCTCCTGTGTATACTCACCCAGGCTCTATCTGGTCCCATCTTCAGTGGTCCTCATCTCACTGCTGAACTGTATCCTGCATCACAGAACTCTGTCTCTGAGGACCTCAGAACTCATCCAACAAATAGCCCTCTCAGATGACAAATAACCCCAGGCTTTCCATGTTATATATAGCTTTACCTTCTTAAATGATTTATTTTTATTTTATGTACATTAGTGTTCTGCCTGCATGTATATCTGTATGAGTGTGTCAGATTCCTTGGAACTGGAGTTACAGACAGCTATGAACTGCCATGTGGATGCTGGGAACTGAACCCAGGTCCTTTGGAAGAGCAGCCAGTGCTCTTAACTGCTGATTCATCTCTCCAGCCCCTTCATGTTATCTATATATTTATTTATCATATATAATAAATATAAATTTTATTATTTTTATTATTATTATTATTACTATTACTTATTTTTGCTTTTTCATGGCAAGGTTTCTCTGTGTAGCAGTTCTGGCTGTCCTGGAACTCACTTTGTAGACCAGGCTGGCCTCTAACTCACAGAGATCTGCCTGCCTCTACCTCCTGAGTTCTAAGATTAAAGGTGTGTGCCACCACTGCCCGGCTTCCGTGTTATGTGTTTAAGCTAGGCTGCAACCAGGAAACTACACCTTTCACATGGTGCTTCCCTCCCACCTATAACTCCAGTCCCTCCACTGGCCCCAGGCACTCCAGGGCTACACATCTATGCATGCAGGAAAACACACATGGGCCGTGCAGTGGTGGCTATGTGTCGAAAAAGCCACATATGGCCGCCAGTGCCTGTGGCCCTAGCATTTGGAGGTTAGAGACGGTGGAACCCTGCAGCTCTTCAGCCAGTCAGACTAGCGAAAAGGCGAGCTTCGAATTGAATAGAAGATCCTGCCTCTAAAAAATAAAGGGACAGGTGACAATCTAGTTCATTCCACACATACACCACACGTGTATATTTTTGAAAACTGATTTCAAAGGTGGAGATTACTTTGCTAACATGATACGGATGTAAAGGATGTGGTCATGGCAAGGCTATGGAGGGGGAAGACAAATGCATAAAGCACAGAACTTTGAATAAATATTTTTGCATCAATTTGGAAAAAATAAAATAAAGAACTTCCCGAACAAAAGCCTTTCTTCCTGCTTCATTGTGTGTACCGTGCCTTGTCATCCTCGTTCAGCAGGCTGTCGTGTGCATCTTTCTGCTTTTGTTTCCTGAGATGGTTTCATGCCATTTTATTCCTGCAGGCTGCCTGAATAAAGAACAAGGTTGGAGTGGGAAAAGAGAGGAAACTTCCTGTCTGCCAGTTTACAAGAAATTGGCTAATGGAATCTGCCAAGAAGATGGACGTCATCAACGTCATCGCCTTGCCCATGATACCAATGGATGAGCACCAGGTGGTCTCTGTCAATGCCCGGAAAGCACTGGAGAATTCTTTGAGGAAACAGTTGCAAGAACATCCCCCCAGTATCCTTCTAAAGCTGCCACCCACGGTCAGACCAAGTACATCTCACTGGTGTAATGAATGCTTAGGTTCATATATGTTATCTGTTAGCCCACTCTACATACCATGGTAATTTTTTCTGAGCATGGAAGTCCTATTTGCCTCTAAACATACATATATACATGTATGTATGTATGTATGTATGTATGTATTTGGTTTTGGGGTTTTTTTGTTATTTATTTATTTATTTTTTTCGAGACAAGGTTTCTCTGTAGCTTTGGTGCCTGTCCTAGAACTAGCTCTTGTAGACCAGGCTGGCCTCGAACTCACAGAGATCCACCTGCCTCTGCCTCCCGAGTGCTGGGATTAAAGGCGTGTGCCACCACTGCCCGGCATGTATTTGATTTTTTGAGACAGGGTTTTTCTGTGTAACAGCCGTGGCTATCCTGGAACTTGCTTTGTAGACCAGGCTGACCTTGAATTTAGAGAGATCCATCTGTTTCTACCTCCTGAGTGCTGAGATTAAAGGTGTGTGCCACCATCTCCTGGCCGAGGTTTATTTTTTAAGCAGAGGGCACTCAAAAGGAAGATGCCCAGGTCAGATCTGTTGAAAGAGGGAGAAAGTTTTGTATTGGCTCCGCTTACTCTTCCGTCCTAGGAATTAGGGCTGTGGATATAACAGGCAGCAACTAGGAAGTCAGGAGCTAGGCCTCTGTCCCCAGAAAGCTGAGCCCACCACTCAGATCCTTCATTTCCTCTGGTTGACCTCCCCTCTCCTCACCAGCTAGCCCGCCTACTCAGGTTCAGTCTGCCCCTCTGGCATCCACCCAGGTTCCTCCTGCCTCTGCTCTCTCCCTGGTCCAGCCTTCCCTGACCCTCCTCTCTCCACTGAACTGTTTCCCTGCCGCACAGACCCCATCTCAGAGTCTGTCCCACAAACAGGCTTTAAGCCTTGCTGCCACCAGGCAGCCTGCATCTTCCACTCTGCCTCCCTCTCCACATTCCTCTCCCCGACCCTTCTCGAGACTCCAGCTAGTGTGATCCCATCTGGATCTTGATACTTTCTTGGGGCTCTTTTCTTTTTTAAAAGATTTATTTGTTATGTATACAGTGTTCTGATCAGATCTCATTACAGATGGTTGTGAGCCACCATGTTAATGCTGGGAATTGAACTCAGGACCTCTGGGAGAGCAGCCAGTGTTCTTAACCTCTGAGCCATTTCTCTAGCCCCAGGGCTCTTTCTAAAGCCTTACTTAATCCCACGCTCCACTTGGCCTTGTCTGGATCATGTGTCCCTCTTGGTGTCTTCACTTTCCAAGTGCTGTCCCCATGGTAAGAACCCTTAAGGGTAATGGAAGGGAGGGCGAGCCTGCTTTACCGGGAAGGAGGGAGTGGCAGGGCTATGAGGCTTACCAAGGCTGAGACTGTGTCCCAGGAGACCCTGAGGCTAAGATATGAAATGTAAAAAGTGAAGAAAAGGTGACAGATAAGGTAGAACTGGTCAGACTCAAAGAGAGGTTCAACTGAGAGGCAAAGATAGCAGGTGCCCCTTGGCCCAGTCATCCCACACCTGAAAATCTCTCTTAAAGAAATATCCCAGGAGCCGGGTGGTGGTGGCACACACCTTTAATCCCAGCACTCGGGAGGCAGAGGCAGGTGGATCTCTGTGAGTTCGAGGCCAGCCTGGTCTACAGAGCAAGTGCCAGGACAGCTGGGTTTGTTACACAGAGAAACCCTGTCTTGAGAAATCAAGGAAAGAAAGAAAGGAAGGAAGGAAGGAAGGAAGGAAGGAAGGAAGAAAGAAAGAAAGAAAAAGACTGGATGATTCTGCTATCAAGAGTGTTAGTGAACTGGGCCCAGTTACAAGCGCCCACAGCAGGCTGCTCACAGCCACCCCTAACTGATCCCAGGGGATTCACAGGCACTAGTATGCATATGGTGCACATACATACACTCAAGCACAAGCTTATATGCATAAAATTAAAACATCTTTTTTTAAAAAAAGAGTATTCCAAAATTTGAAACCTCTCTGTGGCTGTGCTCACCACAGCTTTGTTTGCCATTGAGAGAGGTTGTAAGTGGCTTACAGAGCCACAGCCCAGCAGCAGGAACGCTCACTGAGGTGTGCGTTCTAAGTGGCCTGTGTGATGTTACTAAAGCGGTATTATCTGGCCATCGGGCAAGTTCTAGTGGAAGAGAAGTCATGAACATGAGCCGGGCATCTGTTGACATTGTAATTATGCTTGCACAGAATACTGGAAGGCCAGCTGGTGCAGGGGCACATGCCTGAGGCAGGAGGATCACTACATAGACGTCCTGTCTTCCCCTGTCAAAAACTGAAACAAACAAAACCCAAAAAGGAATGCTCTCAAGACTCCAACACAGGGACTCGAGAGGTGGCTCAGTGGTTAAAAGCACTGGCTCTGGCTGTTCTTCCAGAGGGCCTGGGTTCAATTTCCAGGTCTCAACTGTCTGTAACTCCAAATCTGATACCTTCACACCAATGCACATAAAATAAAGTTAAGTAAATTTAAAAAAAAAAAAGACTCCAACAGAGAGGCTGGAGGCAGTGTGGACAATGTTTTCCCTTGGTTAGTACCTTACAAGGTGGTTACAACACTTTTTTTTCCTCCGTCTCCTTTTCTCTTCCTCTTTGTTCTTTCTTATTTTTTAAAAAGATTTATTTATTAATTTTTATTTATTAATTATGTATACAGCATCTGCCTGCATGTATCCCTGCAGGCCAGAAGAGGGCACCAGATCTCATTACAGATGGTTGTGAGCCACCATGTAGCTGCTGGGAATTGATCTCAGGACCTCTGGAAGAACAGTCAATGCTCTTAACCTCTAAGCCATCTCTGAACCCTTCTTCTTTGTTCTTGACTTTGTTTCTCTGCTTGCTTTTTTCTTTTTTTTTTTTTGTTTTTATTTTAGACAGGATATGCATTATAGCCCTGGCTAGCCCAGAGGTTACTATGAAGCCTAGGCTGGCCTCAAATTCATGGCACTCCTCCTGCCTCAGTCTCCTAAATGCTGGAATCACAGAGATGAGTGCTCACACTGGTTCATAAATTTTCATTTATAATTTATAAAATGATTCACTTGATGATGTCATGAATGTTGGCAGAAGGAATGAGTCAGTAGAGAGATGGTGTAGCCTGGACACCTTCCTGGCCGACAAGACCCCTCTGCCGTGTGTGCCCGTCCGCCTTCTGGAGTTTCCTTAGCAGCTTGCCTCCCAGCATGCATCATTGGCTCCATGAGCCAGGTGAACCAGAAGATTACTGAGATAGACCTGGGCCCCAAACTGTGGGCCAGCATCTCGGTGAGTTGAAGCAGATACTGGAGCTCAGGCAGGACTTTGGAAAGAAAGATCCTAGGGAGGGTCATTCGAGGTGTGCCCTGCGGGCCCTGCACCCCTCCAAACACATGTTTGTACAGTTGAGGTTTCAAAGTTCACTTTTAAAAATTAGCCAACTTTAAAAAAATGTATGTATGTATGCATGCGTGCGTGCGTGCATGTGTGTGTGTGTGTCTGTATGCTACATGTGCATGGGTGCTTTTGGAGGCCAGAAGAGGGCACTGGATCTCCTGGATCTGGAGTTACAGGTAGTTCTGAGTCAATGTGGAAGGTCCTGAACTCAGGTCCTCTGAAAGAACAGCAGGTGCTCTTAACTGCTGAGCTCTCTCTCCAGCCCCAGCAGGCTGCTTCTTAAGAGAAGTTTTAAATTTGCAGTGAACATATATACTGTATGCCCCACCCTCACACATGTTGTAACCTGCCCCATCAACTTCTCCATACCTCAGTTACAACCAGTGAACCCACCCTGCCCCAGCATTACTGCCGACCCCCCTACTTTATCTTAGGCTTCCCTCCTGATGAGTGTGGACCATGTACAATGATGTATATCATCTGCCTCTGCATTGCATACGGAATAGCCTCACGTCCCAGCTACTGCGCACCACCTTTTGTCTCCCTTCCCTCCCAACCTCTGGCTGCCACTGGCCCATTTACTTCTGTATAGTTTCAACCCTAAAGAACGCCATGACCTTGGAACTTGCAGTGTAGCTTCGCCATGGTGGCCTCACTTAGGAATGCACCTTGAAGGTTCTTCCTTGGGCTTCCATAGGTCACCCGTTCCTTTTTAGCATTTGCTAAACCCCATTATCTGGATGCACCGCAGTTTGTTATCTGCCCCCCTTCTCGGGCATATTGGTCACTCCCGTGCTTTGGAAAGCTGGACACCCCTGTGCAGGCTATCACTGGGAATGCAGCTCTTTTGGGTAAATCCCAAAGGGCACACTATCAAAGTCGCTTCCAAGGTGTTGTCTTCCCACCAGTGAGGTCTGGGGTTCCTGTGCTTGAAATCCTCACCAGCACCTGGTGGTATCGGTGTTCTGAACTTGGCTGTCCTGGTAGGTGTGTGGCAGGGTTTCACGCGCTGCTCTGACAACACAGGGTGTGGCATCTTTTCATTGCTTATTCATCATCCCCATATCGCCGCCTCCTTTTTGAAACAGGGTTTCTCTGTGTAGCCATGGCTGTCCTAGAACTCTCTCTGTAGACCAGGCTGGCCTGGAACTCAAAGATCTACCTGCCTCTGCTGCCAAGTGCTAGAATTAAAGGCATGTGCCACCACCACCCAGCTTTCTCTGTCTTTTTATTTTTATTATGAGAATGGGGTTCTTAATGTTTTGTTTGTTTGTTTTCCGAGACAGAGTTTCTCTTTGTAACAGCTCTAACTGTCCTGGAACTTGCTCTGTAGACCAGACTTGAACTCAGAGATCCGCCTGCCTCTGCCTCCTGAGTGCTGGGATTAAAGACATGTGCCACCAGTGCCCCGTGGGGTTCTCAGTGTTAATTGTCAGTGTAGAGAGATTAGCCTCTAGGAGAGGTCAACTTGGAAGATTTGCCTCTGTTGATACCTTTGGGGAGCTGTGTTGATTATATAGTTGAAGTGGGGCACCCTGCCCGTTGTGGATGGCACCCATATGCTAGAATCCTGGACTCTGTTAATGGAGAATAGGTACTGGGCACACATTCAGCATGTTCTGCTTTCCAACTGGGAATGCAATGTGCCTGCTGCTCTGAGCACCTGTTGCTGTGAGTTCTTGGCTGTTCATGGCTAGCCGCCTGTGCTGGTCTAGCCTCCTGAGCTGGGCTAGCCTCCTGAGCTGGGCTAGCCTCCTGAGCTG